CCATCCTGAGTTTTTCTGTGCCAGCGGACTATTTTGGGAGAGGAAGGAGGAGGAGAGGGGGGGGGCGACCGCGATGCATCGCATGCACTCCTCGCACAGCCCGCCAGGCCCATCACAGAAATCCTGGTCCCGCACTGTTAAAGCAAATGCGTGTCACGGAATCGGTGCAGGAGCAGTTGCACCAGGAGGAAAATTGAAACGCCTTATTCAAATAAGATGAAACGTCGGGAGCATGAAACAGAAGCCCATCCTGACTATGTGGGCTGACTGTACTGGCCGGGTCTGAACACCCACACGGCGGATTGTCACCGCGTCGGCGCGGCGAGGACTTGCCGTACGGACCGCTCCAGGGCCACGCGTGAGCTGGGACGTTTTGACAACCCAGGACATCGGCACGCCCCAGAAAGCGGCAGCCGAGGGCCCAAGGCACTAGGTCGGGCCTGTCCCCCCACAGGGGGGTTTTGGGCGAAAGATCTAACATACTCCACAAAAACACTTCCACAATGCTCCAAAATAATAAAATAAACTAGTCCCCAGACTATTGTTTTCCTATTTTTGAATATACCTCCTGTAGAGGGACAGGCCCGACTTAACCCAAGCATTCAGGGGGAGGCCCGAGGTGTGTACCAAGTCGTCTGGTCGGCCAACGCGTTCGGCGTGTAGACGCCTCGGCTTCCCAGGCTGTGGGAAGCTGCAGCGCGCATACGCCGAGCTCCTTCGCCGAACTCCGTGGCTCCTTGGTCGACCAGAAAACTCGGTGTATACGTCGAGCCCCTCTGACACTCTCCACTGCGTTCGGGAACTCGTGCACTGTGCATAGCGTTTCGCAGCGGCAGCACCGGCGACGCGCTGTGCCTTGCAAGCGGATGGCGCGTCGTTCCGAAGCGCGGGAGGCCAGATCCGGTGGCGCGACAGCTAAGCCAAGGCTCCCGACCGTAATCCACATTCTCTAGAAGAAGCAGAAGAAACGGCATCAACATAAACCTTTGGCGCTCTGCGAGCATTTCTTGGATCCACGCAGGGCCCCTCCCAGCCGACAGTTTACGTTTGTGTAATTTTTTCTTCTTCGACTCTCTGGCTGGATCTGGCAAGGTCCTGGTCAGCAGAGCCCTGGCCTACGGAGCTCTGGCCTGCGGCTGAGAAGGCGAAAACCCACAAACACCCCCAGTCCCGACTCCATCCCCGAACCCGCGATTCAAGGAGTCGGGACTGGGGGTGGGGGTGGGTTTCCGGGGTCCAAGAATGGAGAAAACCCACCCCTACCCCCAGTCCCGACCCCTTGAATCGCTGGCTCGGGGATGGGCGTCGGGACTGGGGGTGGGGGTGAGTTGTCGCCTTCTGAGTGGCGGCGG